GGTGGTGATCTATTGAATAAATGTGAATGGGTTAAATTGGTATGTCCTAGTCTTAATCGGATGTATTTGGTAAGGTATGCACGCGGAAATTTATGATCGTGTTTAAGAGGGGTGAAATTGAAAATGGAAGTTTTATTGAAGTTAATGTTTTTATAATGAGAGGAGGAGTTATCAAAGATTTCTGAGAATTTGCTTTTAAAAACAGTATCTATATAACTGGAGAGATCTGAGCTATTATGATTTTCAGTAAGTATGAACGGATATTTCCAAGCATTTTTTGCTGTTTCATCTGCAAGTTCATTACCTCGTATCCCAGAATGACCAGGGACCCAAATCAGGGTAAGACGTTTGTGATTAGAGGATAGAATGTTTCTGATAGCAGTTGCATAAAAGTTCAGATTAGCTGAATTAGATATATATTGGATTGCGGACATAGAATCTGTACAAATTGCAAAAGAGCCTTTCTTAGTTTTGGCTATGGTAAGGGCTTCGTAGATGGCTATTAGTTCTGATGTGAAGACTGAGGTGTAAGATGGTAGAAGTGAAGATTTAATTATAGAAGAGTCGGTTGTTATGCTAAAGGAAGTCGCGAGGTCAGATTTAGAACCATCGGTATATATGAAGGAGTATCTTTTTAGAGCATACTTAAGTTCTAGAAACTTCTTTTGGAAGATGGATGGATGTGTAGAGGTTTTTGTGGAGTCATGGAGACTAGTATTCAAAAGAGAGTTGCTAAATGTCCAGGGCGGGTTGGTAGGGTAACTTACAGGGGTAGGAGTAATGGTGATATTAAAATTATTGCAAAGTGATATTGATTTAAGCAGAGAGGATGATATTCTATGTTGTCTTTTTGCTCTAATAGTTTTGGTTACTTCTAAGAATAAGGGGGAATGTCTACAGTTAAGGATTAGTTTTGATAATTTGGCGGTTAGAAGGTCTCTTCTCATCTCCAGTGGCAGGACTTGAGCTTCGTAGAGAAGGTTGTTGACAGGTGTTGTTGGGAAGGCTCTAAAAGCTAGTCGGATAGCTGAGTGGTAAAATGTTTTAAGTTTATTGTAGAGTGATTTAGGTGAGAAACCGTAAAGGTAAAGTCCATAATCTAGTTTTGCAATTATTGTGGACTTTATTATACTAATAATAGTGGCTGCGTTGCAGTTAAATTTGGCGCTAGAAAGGCACTTTATAATATTTAGGCTTTTAGATAACGAAAGGGCGAGATTTTCAATATGGGTATTCCAGGTATAATGTTTGTTGATGGTCATACCAAGGATTTTCAAAGAACCTGTGGTGGGTAAATTGAATTGGGCTGAATGGATTTTAAAGTTGCATGACTTTTTGCGGCAAATATGAAGATGTTTGCATTTTGAGACTGATAAAGAAGCGCCAGAGGTGTTGCACCAATTAAGAATGTCGGTGAAGAAGTTGTCCAGGTCTAACGATGTCTTATTGCTTATTTTATTGAAGATATGATAGTCATCAGCGTAGGCGCAGAAGTTAAGATGATTGTGAATTGAAAGTACCTTGTTTAATTTATTGTAAGCGATAATGAACAATATGACTGAAATTGGTGATCCCTGGGGAATGCCGTTATGGAGAGGGAGAGAAGAGGACAATGAGTTTGAGTTTTTGACAATGATTTTCCTGTTGGACATGAAGTTAGTAACGTATTTGATTATCCTGGGTCCAACTTTCCAAGAATGGAGCTCATCGATGACAGAGTGGATGCCTATTTTATCAAACGCTTTGTTAAAATCTAAGGAAATTATAGATAAGTGATTTCTAGTTGAAAGGGCAGAAGTAATCTTGCTGTCTAGATAAACTAGAGAGTCAGCTACTGATTTTCCTTTTTTGAAACCAATTTGACGACTATCTATTAGTTTGTTAATAGTAGCAAACCACCATAGTCGATTAGCTATAATTTTGTCAAGAACTTTAGAAAGGCAAGGGTTAAGAGATATCGGTCTATAAGATGTAAGAAGAGTTTTGTTTGTATTAGTTTTGTGTATAGGGATGATTATACTGGTCTTATATTGTTGCGGTAAATAATTATGAAAAATGTTATTGTAGTGTGATAGTAATCGTTTTTTAAGTGTTGGGGTAAGTTGTTTTATCATTGGGTAGGAAATTCTGTCTAGTCCAGGAGTTTTCCCTTTAAGGTTTTTTAGTGCTATTTCTAGTTCTATGAGGGAAATGTCTTCTTCAATAAGCTGAGCTTTTTTGGACAGAGAATAATTAATTGTAAATGTTAATAAGGACTGTTTTTGACAACGGAAGGTAGAAGAAAAGTTATTGTCATTCGTTTCTGATGACCAGTATTGACAGAGTTCCTGTGCAATAAGTTGGCTATTGGTGGTAGAATGATTATCGGACTTAAGAATACAATGAATAGGAGTGCGAGATTTGGTCCCGCAAAAAGTATTAATGTGGGACCAGATTTTTTGTGAGGAATTTAATGAATTTATATTTGCTGTGAAATTTTCTAACGATTTACGTTTAGACCTTTTTATCTCTCTTTTGAGTAATGCATTTGCTTTTTTATAATTAATTATATTCTCTAAAGAAATTGAACGTTTTAACTTATTCCACTGAAAAATTTTTATATCCTTGAGTTTTTCTAAGTAAGAATTCCACCATGGTACAATACGTTTTCTATTAGCGGACTGGGTGGTTTGTTGGATAGATAAATGAGCGCTTTGTCTAATAATTTTTATGATATTTGCGGTTTCTTGGTTGATGTGTCCACTTATTGGTACTATTGAGCTGTAATGGTCAACAGTGGCTTTGAATTTGTTCCAATCTGCTTTATTAGTGTTGAATTTTGCCCGAGTTTTCGAGGAGCAAGTGACGGGATTATCGAATAGGGAGATAATTATAGGGAAGTGGTCACTCCCGCAAAGATTGGATTCTATTCTCCACTTTGCCTCTAAGGCGATAGAGGGTGACGCTATGGAGATATCAATATGGGTAAAGGTATGGTGAGTACTGAAATGAGTTGGGGAGCCGTCGTTTAGGATTAAAAGGGATGATTGAGATAGGAATTTGAAGATGGAGTTGCCTTTTTTATTATTGTATGACGAGCCCCATGAGCGGTGCCAACTGTTGAAATCTCCTAAAATTAGAATGGGTCCTTGAATCTTATTAAATATGTTTCGTAGATTTTTTAATGAAAAATTTTTGTTAGGGGGTATATATGACGATATTACTGTAAAGTTAATTTTGGAGTACACCAGGGCTCCGACAGAGTCGAAGTCGGTATTGAGTACAATTTCCTCATATTGTATTGAGTTATGGATGAGCAAGAGTACTCCTCCATGAGAGTTAACAGACGAGTTGATTGTAAGTAGAGTGAAATTAATTGGGATAGGTATATTATTAGAAGAGTGAATGTGAGTCTCTTGAAGAGCAATTATTTTTAAGTTGTGGGTTTTTATAAGGATGTGGAGTTGGTTGTAGTTGTTGATGTAACCATTTAGATTCCATTGGAGAATATTAAGAGTCATTAAATTATAGAGGATATAGGATGATATAAGCAAAAAATGTAATGAAATGTAATAAGGAATAATAAAATATTAATAATACGATATAATAAAATATGGATAATATGGATGTATATATTTGTAATGTATAATTATATTAGTTGAAGTCCATAGATGGGTCCTTAACGCTTTCTGAATTAGGGCGTACACTGGTGTTGTCTTTTTTTACTATGATATCTGCTTTCAATTTATTATTTTTTTTTGACTTAGCTTTTAGTTGTGTCTTTAGACGGTTAGATATAGACGTAGGAAAAATTTTAACTTTATTATCAGGAGTTATGTGCGATAAATGTGAAAGGTTAGCAGTGGTGTTGGTTTCACTAGTTATATTTGAAATTATTGGATTTATTTTACTTATTATGTTAGCCGTTGATGTGGTGTGAACAATATCTTTATAGGATATCAGATGTCTGGAGCTGCTGGGTTGTGGTGATAAGTCTTTGGTGATAGTATTTATATCATTTTTTGTATTGGCGTTATTGTCGTTGGTTACTTGTATGGTAGCTGCATATGAAGTATTCCCGTTTTGGTGGCGTTCAGTGTATATTTTGTGCGCTGTTTTTCTGTCCGTCTTTTGGAGTGTAATGATGGCTTGTATTTCTTTATGTTTTATAAAAGTAGGGCATATTCGATTAATAGCGCTATGTTTGTAATCGGAGACCAAGTTTTCCTTGCAGTTTATACATGTTACTTCGTTTAGGCATTTTTCATTAGTTTTTGAACAATTATAGTCAGCAAGTCCGCAGTTAACGCATAATTTAGAGTTTTTACAATGTGTGGCTGTGTGCCCAAGACGTGTGCAGTTCCGGCAACGGAGTGGAAGAGGGATGTAAGGACGGATATGAACTATTTGATAGCCAATTTTGATCTCATCTGGTAAGGTAGGAGATGCAAACGTAGCAATGATTAAACCTGTTTCTTTGAGTTCTTCGTTGACTTTCTTTAAAATTTTTTTTAACTCGATGATATTTTGGTGCTTTAATTCTGCAAGAATTTCTTCCTCCGGTATTTCTCTAAGATCGTTTGAATAGAAGACTCCTTTAGAGCAGTTAAGCGAATTATGTTCAGTGACATTAACTTCAATAAAGTTGTTAAGTGATGTAAGTTTGATTAAATTTGCGGCTTGCGTGACTGTTTTAGTTTTAATTAAAAGAGTCCCGTTGCGCAGTTTTTTACAATTTTCAATTTCGCTCCCACATACGTTGTCAATGACTTTTTTTATAAGGAAAGGAGAGACGTTCATTAGGGAGTCGTTACTATTAATTCTTGACATCACCATGTATTTTGGGCCTTGGGAATAGTATTTAAGCGTTTTTGTTGCATCAGTGTTAAAAAACAATTGGCCAGAATGTTTGCCCCTATCCGGAGGCTCACTCATGTTTCACTTTTAGGCACTTGCTTGTGCTTAGTCCGTGGGGAATATGTTTGTCGTTGCTGTTCTTATTATTTTTGTTTTTGTATTTTATTAAAAGTTATTATTGTTGGTTTTGATTCCAATCAACGGAAAAAAGAAAAAAAGAACACTGCAACTAGTATTTCTTATATTGATTATGTTTATGATTATTTGTGTTTTTATTTGTTTAACTGTTTTGTGGAGTATTTATAGAATATTTATAAGAAATCAAATTAAATAAAACAACAAAAGAAGAAGTAACGGTACTTCGAATCAAAATTGTAAACTATCGGTTGAGCGCAAAACAACGTCAATTTAGCACGAATGATAAACCGAGACTGTAGAATATTAAATATTTTGCAAAATTGTAAGTAAATTGCTCTGATTTCGTTGGTTTTGAAAACAACTTATTTTATAGATTTATTTTCATGAAGCACTTTAGGTAAATGGAAAGGAGAAACAATGAGTTCTATTGGCTTAATATAAATCATAAAGATTTTGGTAATTGATTTTGTTCAACTTAATTTTCGTTGCATTATTTGAATCTTTTAGTTTTTAGCCACATAGAGTAGACTTACAGAATGTGATCAAAAAGTAACGAAAAGTATTAAATTAAGAACGCTGTATCTGTATAATATACTATGTAATGTATTAATATTTATATAATATATAATTAATTTAAATATATGAATATTAAAATTCTAACAATCAAACGCTCTAAATATGTTTTCTTAACTACATCACCTTTTTATTCCGTTATTCAGGTCAGAAAAATGATAATAACAGTTTTCAGTAGTCAAAATATTAAAAATGATTTAATTCAATAATTTAATTTTGTTCAACATTATTTTATTAATAAGAAAAAACATTATAATAATAAAAAAGAAACATAATAATAAGAAAAAACACTATAATAATGAGAAAAAAAGATAATAATAAAAAAAAATGTTATAATATTAGGAACAACATAATAATCAGAGAAAACATTATAATAATGAGTAAAAACATTATAATAATAAGAAAAATTATTATAATATTAACAAAAAAACATAATAATTAGAAAAAAACTGCATTATTCAATTTTTTTTCGCAGTTCTCTATTTTCCTTTTCAAGTTGTTGTAACCTGGGCCCTGTTGCACCAACACTTTTCACTTTTCACTTTGCAAATTTTTGAGTTTTTGAGCATTTTTCTCTCATTGAGAACATAAAGCATTAATTTGAGAATTGAGTTATGCCATTGAGTAAAAATATTATAGAGTCACAATGACTCAATTTTTAAATTTTCAGAAAAAGGCACGGGAGGGCGGAGTGAAGATTTTACTTCTTTCTGCGCTGCTGCTAGATCGATCGCGCTTATGCTTGTTCTTTCTAAAAATTTTACTATTGATGAATGAAGGACAAAAATGAAAACAATAAACAGATTTGCTTGTTACGAAGGCAGGCAGTACAAGAAAAGAGTCAAATTAGTTTTTGGTGTAATTATTTGTTTTTGAAATTAATGCTTGGCACCAGCAAGCAGCACGTAAAATTGCATGCATTTAATCAGGGACCGAAAATAACAGTTATTTTAAAATTTTTTATGAAAAAAAGCAGCAACAAAAAGTTGTCTAAACTCTTATTTAAGTAAATAGTTATCATTCTAACAACTTTTATCCTTAATATTATGCATGCTTTTTATATATGAGCTTTTTAAAATAAAACTCAAAAAATAATAATTAAATTTGATTTTTATTATATTCATCAAAAATAATAATTTTTATATGCCTTTTATTTTTTTCGCGCAGAAATAACTCTTAAAATTTGCTTCTTATTTTAAAACGCACAAATAACTGGTATACTTGCGTTATATAATATAAAAATCAAGAGTATCGCGCAAATTCTGCGCGATATTTTTAAAATGAAAATATAAAATGCAATTTTCATACAAGGTAGTTGTTTTGCAATTCCATAGAAAATGTTTGAAAAGGTTGGTGCAGGTAAAGACTTAGTTTAGTTTTTTGTTTTTGTATTTTACATACAAATTTGTTCTCCTACAAAATACAAAGATAAATACAAAATATGAATCCAAAATACAAAAACAAAAAACTGAACTAAATCTTTACCTGCACCAACCTTTTCAAACATTTTCTATGAAATTGCAAAAACAACTACCTTGTATGAAAATTGCATTTTATATTTTCATTTTAAAAATATCGCGCAGAATTTGCGCGATACTCTTGCTTTTTATATTATATAACGCAAGTATACCAGTTATTTGTGCGTTTTAAAATAAGAAGCAAATTTTAAGAGTTATTGCTGCGCGAAAAAAATAAAAGGCATATAATAATTATTATTTTTGATGAATATAATAAAAATCAAATTTAATTATTATTTTTTGAGTTTTATTTTAAAATGCATATGATAACAGTTATAAGATGATTTTTATTTTTTTTATGATAACTGTTACGGTCCCTGCATTTAATATCAGGGTTTGAATTTACTGCTCCGCAGCAGCAAAGAGTATATATACATAGAGTGTGCATCACTCAAAAAATCTTAAAAATGAAGTGATGGCAATTTCATAAAAATCGGTCGCAGAAATCGGGGAAATAGTATTTGAGTTATTTTTGTGTCACATGGACTCGTTGTGACTCAATTTTTATTTTTTCAGCTTTAACCATTGAGTAAGAATATTTTTACTCAATGCATACTCCGAGAAATACTTGTCTCAACCATTTTGTTGGAACTGCAGGGAATATATAATGCCGATTGTACAAACCGGTGAGTTGTGTGTTCTTATAACGCTGATTATGCAGCGTGTGATATACCTATTACTTATTATGAATTGTTTAATTTGGATATTTATCTGCTTAAACTTTTTTCAAAGACTTACTAATTGTTTATATTTTCAATTCTTTAATTAAATGAAATTCGGTCACATGAGTTTAATCGATAAAGTACTAAAATTGATCACTTCCAAATATATTGGACTGCGATATGTCCCAAGAAAACCAAAAAAACATGAAAACAATATTATGGATAACATTAAGATTGACTTTACTCTTCAAAGAACATATCTTAGTTCTAACAATTGAACTTCTAATATCCGCGTAGCTTAGATTTTGATACCCTTCGAATTGTCATGATCTTCTTCTTTATCATACCATAGTAGTTCATTTATTATCACAACTATTCTGTGATTAAATCAGTAAAATAGTGCGTAAATTAACTTAACTACTTGTAGCTTAAGACAGAGATAAAAACATAGAATGTTTAATGACAGATAAGATTAAATGCTGGTATAATATAATCCATTGGCAGAACCGAAGTAGTACTAAAAAAATTTAATTTTTTTAAGATTTTATTAGAATGATTAGTAGTTTTTTTTGACATAAAATCACATTTAATAATAAATTTTTTTATTAAAAACTAATTACATCAAAACTGATCGTATTATACTTTCAAATAATTTATTTTACTACTTGAAACCGAATGTAAATTATTTACAATATAATAAACAAAGTTAACCAATTATTATATATCCATTTTATTTTATCTTCATTATAAACTATAACAATCGGGTGTAATAGTTGAAGTGTTTCTTCCACTTACGCCTCTACTCTTACTGCGACCAGATATCAGTTATTGTTCTTTAAAGATGCGCTAGATTTCGAATAATGGTCAAGTGATCTTATGCTTTGTATTTTGGCAAAACGGACAAGATCGTCTTTGTTAAACAGCTACTCCTACTCCTTTTTTATTTTAATTATTTTCTTTATTTGCATCTCTAAATAAATATAACTTCAATTATATTTATGATATACAGTTTTGGGCACAATTGAACCCAACTTATTGGGTCGCACATTAACGCATGAGCACATAGCTCTCGATTTTGAAGGTTTTCATTGCGAACCTCCAACAGAGTTCAAATCAGCACTGGAAAGCAAAATATCTATGGAAACATTGGGCTATATACGGCAATATCCATATTCATCACTGGAAAATGTTCGTTTTTATGATGAAAATTCACGAGATGCTGCCAAAAAGGATGTGGCTTTATACAAACAATTTGGAGGTGGAACAATCGTAGAGAATAGCTCTCATGGATTGAAGAGAAATTTGGATTTCATGGTTGATGTCTCCAAAAGTACTGGTGTGCATATCATAGCTGGAACTGGACATTACATACATGATGTCCAGGACAAAAAGGACACCTCACTAACAGTCGAGCAAATGACTGATATTTATTCAAAGGAGATTATAAATGGTGTTGAAGTAGATGGTGTTGGTATGGTGAAGTGTGGTTTTATTGGTGAGGTAGGCAGTACATACCCTATACATGGTGAGTTTAGCAGCAGTGTTAATTGTATACATATGTACATACATATAACAAATTTCACATTTATAAATAATTTAATTTTAAGATTTTGAAAAACGCGCCATACGCGCTACCGGTGAGATACAAGAAGTTTTAGGTTGTGGTGTTTCATTTCACCCTGGTCGAGATTCTGCTGCACCATTTGAAATAGTACGTCTTTACTTAGAAGCTGGTGGACGAGCTGATAAGTGTGTTATGTCGCATCTGGATCGTAAGTTAAAATTAGAAAATAAAATAGATTAAACCTAAAATAATACGACATTTTGGTAAATCACAGGAACCATATTTGATATAGAACAATTATTGGAATTTTCCAAACTGGGCTGTTATTTACAATATGATCTCTTTGGCACTGAGTGCTCTTTTTATCAGCTTAACCCAGCTGTGGATATGCCTTCTGATGGCCAACGTATAAATAATCTAATAAAACTGATTGAAGAAGGTCTATGCGATAAAATTTTGATGTCTCATGATATACATACTAAACATCGTTTGGTAAGTAAACCTTAGTCGTTTTAGTCATTTAAATTAAACATTTAAATGTCCATTTAATTTGTTATATTTTTTAGACGTCTTATGGTGGACACGG